GGGACGAAAGGATTCGAAAGATTTAATAGTATTGCAGGCTATGGTAATGGCTAATGGCGTGTGAGGGAAAAAAATACAGGCGTACCAACGATAAAATTCACATACACTGACATTACACATACAATATCATATCATGACACAATTTTTTTCCCCTCCAGTGTTCCATTTGTATTTCTCAATCAGATAATCGCAGTGGAAATAAAAGAAAAGGCTGAAAGAACGCTTATTAATGAATTATCAGGGTTCTCAACATCTATCTCATCATCACCAACGCGAAATCACATCGAATATTTAGAAATTGCGATACTGAAGCATTTTAAAAAGAAGCCTCACATACCCAACACTTGAGTGACAAAGAAGTGATGCTAATAAGGATAAAACAATAATAACATAAATAACTGCATTATCAATAATTATCATGATAATAATACCAATAATGATACTGATAACAAATAACAATAATAACAGAAGCAACAGCAACAACAATCAATGGAGATAGAAAGCACTGGCTGTACAGATGAGACCCTGTTATCAACTCAAATGATGTAGAATTCCCTGAGTGATCGTTAATAGCGCAATTGTTCAGTGTCCTAACCACATGTCCTCAATTTGTCCTTTTTCACAGGTCCGGAACAGAAATATGTAAACAGCTTTTTGTGTACATCTTCGTTGAGGGATTTCTTCTGTATTGAAGAATAGAGTATCAGATAAATGTATTAAACTGAATATTTCTTGAACCAACTTAATAAGTGCCTTTAAAGGATGTCTTTTCTCATATATGTGTCTAAAGTCTAAATGATTCTCACAATATCTAATTCTCACTCCTATATATAAATAATTCTCGCTAAAAATCTAAATAATTTTCTCGCGAAATCTAAATAATTCTCATTCAAAATCTAATTGATTCTCACTCAAAATCGAAACAATGTTCACTTGAAATCTAAATGATTCTCAAAATCTAAATAATTCTTTCAAAATCTAAAAATTCAAAATCTAAATAATTCTTTCAAAATCTAAATAATTTTCACTCAAAATCTAAATTCTCACTCAAAATCTAGTTATCGCTCAAAATCTAAATAATTCTCACTCAAAATCTAATTCTCACAGAAAATCTAAATAATTATCGTTCAAACTCTAATCAATTCCCACTCAAAATCTAATTAATTCTCGCTCAAAATCTGATTCACTCAAAATCAAAATAATTATCACTCAAAATCTAATTAATTCTCGCTCAAAATAATAATTTTCATTCAAAATCTAAATGATTTTCAGTCAAAATCTAATAAATTCTCGCTCAAAATCTAAATGATTATCACTCAAAATCTAATGAATTTCATTCAAAATCTAAATAATTCTCATTCAAAATATAAATAATTTTCACTCAAAATATAAATAATTTTCACTCAAAATATAAATAATTTTCACTCAAAATGTAAATAATTTTCACTCAAAATATAAATAATTTTCACTCAAAATATAAATAATTTTCATTCAAAATATAAGAAATTCTCACTCAGAATCAAAATGATTCTGTCAAAATCTAAAGAATTCTGGGTCAAAATCAAATCAAAATAATTCTCACTTCGAATTTAAATAATTATTCACTCAAAATCTTATCAATTTTCATTCAAAATCTGAATAATTCTCATTTAAAATCTAATTCTCACTCAAAAGCTAAATCATTCTCGCTCAAAATCAAAATAATTCTCACTGAAAATCGAAATAATTCTCTCTCAAAATCAGATTAATTCTCACTCAAAATCTGAATAATTCTGAGTGAAAATCTAAATAATTCTGAGTGAAAATCCAAATAATTCTCCCTCAAAATCTAAATTATTCTCACTCAGAATCTAAGTAATTCCCACTCAAAATCGAAATCATTCTAATTAAAAATCTAAATAATTCTCACTCAAAATTTAAATAATTCTGAAAATCTAAATAATTCTCACTCAAAATCTCAATCATTCTCTCTGAAAATCAAAATAATTTTCTCTCAAAACCTAAATAATGCTCACTCTTAAATCTTTCTCACGCCACCCTATATACCGGACATTCTCTTGGCCATCGTAATATAACAAAGAAAAAAGAAAAGAACAATGCAAAGAAATATATCACCACTTCATAGAAAAAAAAAACGTTACGTTAGACTTTGGGGTTTGTCTGTTCCCCTCACGTATATTTTTTTTCGTTTGAATTATAAACAAATTTGGAACTGAAACAATACTGTACGACTGCAATGCATAACCAACGCACAGGATTGCTTTTACTTTTTCTTTATTTTCTTTATAAAGATATATATTTCTATATACTACAAAAACTTTTCTCTTTCTTTCTTTCTTTAGTTTACCAAAGGGAACTCCATGATATACTTATATTTCAAAATATATTTCTATATACTTATATTTCAAAATATATTTCTATATACTATAAAAACTTCTTTTTCTTTCTCTCTTTAGTGGACCAAAGGAAACTCCATGGACGAAAAATCACACATCCGTATAGACATTCCCGCAACATAAGCTGAAACATCCGTATACACACCGCAAGCATATGTGCTTTGGTCCTAAATATCAAGCATCCGGTAACGGAGGAACAGATACGGATAAACGGTTACTTCCTCCTGCGAAAAAATGCCATGAATGATGTAGATTTGGGATAATGGTTTAATAGATCGTATGATGGTATAACTGTTCATTTCATCCCTTTGTAGATGATGCATTATCCTTGTTGGGGTTCATTCGTAGGTCATGTTCACAATACTGTAATAAATCCTCGTTAACATCTGTTAGGAGGTGACCTGTTTCTATCATCGACTATGGGCAAAAACTTTCTATTTTATGAAGTAAACAAGTGTTTGTTGAAATGTAATTATAATAATAGTGACAATAATGATAATTGTAATAATAATGATAATGACAATAACGATAAATAACGATAACAACTGTATAAAGATAATGGTGATGACAAAGCAGATTTTGTAACTACAACAATAGTGGTAATAATAATAATAATGATAATAGTCATGATAATAGCAATACGCAATTTTACCGCACTGTTCTGACTGCAATTGTTCCTTTAAAATTCCCTCTATGAACGATTCAATTGTGAAATATCTATTTTCTGGGTGGAATTTCTGATTGGGTGAATGCCTGGGAGGGAGTGGCGGAGGATGGAGAGGGAGAGGGGAGAGGGGGAAAGAATGCGTCGTGAATCATGGGCTTCGCCGTGACCACGACGCATAAAAAGTCATCAACCTCCCCCCCCCCCCTCTCACTATCACTCTCCCGCAGGCACGAGGAAAATTCGAAAAAGATCTCAAGGTCAGTCCTAGGGAACCTTCTATCTCCGAGGGGTGAGGATGCCATGGATTCGCCCCGAGGCCATGCGCCCCAAAGAAAACGGAGCGCCCAAGAAAAGAAAACGCGGCCAATCCTCCCTTTTATTGTCTTATTTTGTTTCTGTGTATGTTTTTTTTTTTTTTTTATTATTTTTTTTTAGTGCATTTTTACACCCTTACACATACACGCAAGGAACTGCAAAGGGATATATTAAGAAATGACGAAAAGTGGGAATAAGAAGGAATTTCGTATTTTATCTGTTTAGTTCACTATCTACTATTTTAGTTCTTTTGGTTCCTCTTATTGATATTTATTTATATTTATCATATTTATTTTGCTAATTTTAATTTTCTAAAGGTGTTTTAATTTTCCTATCCTTAATTAAGTTGTTTTTTTGCGCTAAGAGTTGAAAAGGCAACACGAGAGGCACGACAAAGGGGATTGGTCTTTGGGTCCTGGTCGGAAGCAGACGTTGTGTGAGGAACCCCGAATGGCCCTCCTCTAAGGTAAGTGGTCGTGAGATTATTTTCTTTAGGAACAGGAAAGATTCGTGATCTTTTAGTCAAGCATAAGTGATCGGAAGACC